GACGACATAAGAATACAGTTTGACAAAGGTGACTTAACTCTTCTCTGCCTTCTTGATTTTACTAAGGCGTTTGATTTAGTAAATCATGGCCTGCTTTGTACAAAGCTTAAATATTATTTTGGATTCTCCGACAGCTCTGTCAAACTTATGACCAGCTACCTTGAGGAAAGAATNTTATGACCAGCTACCTTGAGGGAAGAAGTCAAAAGGTGATGTGCAAATCTGCGTCATCAAAATCCTGTATTGTTGCCTCCGGTGTGCCGCAAGGCTCCGTGCTTGGTCCCCTTTTGTTTAGTCTTTTTGTCAATGATGTATTTTCTGTTTGTCAGTATGTTAATGTCCATGCCTATGCTGACGACATTCAATTGTATTTGTCTAGCCGTGTCGGTCTTGTTGAGGATTTGTGCTATAAAATAAATAGTGACTTATCTGCAATATCGCAATGGTCCCGTGATAATTGTCTTTGGGTAAATGCTGCGAAGTCATATGTGTTACCCATTAGTAACAATGTTGTACATGTTGAGGATATTCCAAAAACGTTTGTTGGTAATAGTGTCCTTACGTTTACTGACAAAGTTAGAAACGTAGGCTTCGTTGTTAACTCTATGTTGAGCTGCTCTGACCATATTAATAAAGTTGTTAGTAATGTGTATTTTGTTTTACGTAGATTAAGAATGTCAGTTTCGTTCACGCCTTTAGAGACTAGAAGAAAGCTAGCAATTCAACTCATTGTACCACACATCACGTACTCTGAGCTTGTGTATAGTAAACTTGATTCTACTTCATATTACAAAATTGATGTTGCGTTCAATAATGTTACGCGTTACCCTTATGGCCTCAAAAAATATGACCACATCTCTTTCTGGAAAAACAAAATTCTTGGATGCAGCATTTTTGAATATCTTTCGGCTAGAGACTGTATATATATTTACAAGCTCATACGATTCAAAACACCGAAATATCTTCACGAGAAGTTGGAATTACCTAAGTCTTGTAGGCATCAAAATCTGATTATCCCTAAATTTTCCTATTTGCCCTCATCTCGGCTATTTTTTGTTAATGCTGTGAGGCTGTGGAATTCCATTCCTGATACTATCAAAGCTGCGTTGAATAGGAGCAACTATAAGAAAGTAATACACAAGTATTTCACCTCAGTGCGATAATGTGATTGCTATTTAACAGTTCTCTTTTCTCTATTTATTTCTCTGTCTTTTTTTTTGTTTTTTCTTCGTCATTGTGTTTTTCTTTTTGGGTTTCCCAACTGCAATGAGTGACTATTAAATGACTACTATTTAATCTTACTTTTATTTAATTTTTATTTTTTATTTTATTTTTAAGATAACTGTTTGTATTTAAATTTATTGCTATTATATTTTTACGTTAGATTTAAGATAAGTCTGTTACAGACGATTTTGCGTTTTAATTTTGTAATTGAAAACTGTTGATCTACTACAAAAGACTGGGTCTTACAGGTACAACCTCATTTCTTAAATAAATCAAATGAAATGGCATTACCGTGAACCGGTACAAGGGTCTACCCGGGACAGTAAAAGCAGTTCGCTCCCTAGGCTTTCTCTCAAGTGGTATCTGCCAAAAAGCATCCTTGAGGTCAATTGCAGATATAAAGTGTGTATTTTGTAACCTACTAAGGATGCCATCGAAGTGTGGGAGAGGGTATGCGTCTTTAATCGTACGCTCATTAACCTTCATGGCATCTAGACAAAGCCTATTTTTCGTGCCCTTGATAACTAGAGACACAGGAGAGCTCCAGCTACTATTACTCTCCTCAATGACCCCCATACCTAGCATCCTATCCAACTCTGCGTATACCAATTTCTGGCGAGATCGGATAGTGCTGGCACATTTTCATTGGTTACTTCAATTACATGCTCTTCAATATCTGTATGGCCTAACCCTAGCACTGAGAAAGAAGGGAAACAATCCNTAGAGACACAGGAGAGCTCCAGCTACTATTACTCTCCTCAATGACCCCCATACCTAGCATCCTATCCAACTCTGCGTATACCAATTTCTGGCGAGATCGGATAGTGCTGGCACATTTTCATTGGTTACTTCAATTACATGTTCTTCAATGTCTGTATGGCCTAACCCTAGCACTGAGAAAGAGGGGAACAATGCATTAGTCTTTTCCAGTACCCGATCTTGCTCTGGAGTTAAACGTGAGGTCACCTTCGGTGGATGCGAGCTCTGACACCGCTGGATTGCAACCGCCTTTATTCAAATCCCTATTAACTACATCCANGATAAACCTCCTGCGTCAATGCCGGATTTATCAAAAACTCTAAATTCTTAACTTGCCCGTCCCATGTTATAGGGAGCGTTATTACTCCTTCTACCGCAGTTTTCCCACCGTTCGCTGTGCGTATGCTTTGACCGAAAATACGCATAATCTCTCCTTCTCTTCCTTCTAACATTTTCATAGCATCTTTACCTAAGCAACTAGCACATGCCCCAGACTCGAGTAAAGCCAACACTTGATTTCCATTTACATCCACTGTAACGATTGTTTCCACTATTTTCTTTTGTACGCGTTTGAGATTTCGTTGGTTTTCGCGCATTTTTTGGATCTTCTTGTACTTTCTATTTATTCGCATCTCATCTAATACTTTCATAAATATACGCCTTCGTGCTTCTTCATACTTCATTTTTCGTTCAAGTAACTTTTCTTCAATATTTCTAAATTCACTACTTTCCACTTCATTTTCGCGCGGACCAATTTCGCGTCTAAGAATTTTAATTTCATTATCGGGTTTCGGTTGGTCGCCTAAACTTCCCGATTCGGATTCTGACCAGGGACCCCGATCATCTCGGCCAGTGCTCCATTTCCCACTTCTGGCTTGAAAACACAAAAGGAGGAATCTCCGCCACAGGCGAAACACTTCATTAGGTGGAAGGACGACTTACACTTGCTGTCCATTGCTGCTTCTCCCGGATTCTTAATGTAATAATCCACCGGCATACCACAAGCAAAGCACAGCATTAGGTGGAAGGGTGATGCACAAAAGAACTGGATGGGTAATTTATTCACAGTGGGGACGTTACTCATATCGGGGGTTTGGGTAAAGGATGGGATTATGGGCTTTGTCGTGTCGCATTGTGGGGTGGTACTGGGCAAACGTTTTTGCGAACTTGGCTGACTTCTGTTATCGTTGTTCAACGCAGATACTTCGAAATCGCTTTCTAGCTTACAGCTTTCAGACCAGTCCACGTAATTCATATTCACTTCGCAGACCGCTTTAACTCTTGATATGCTCTCTCTGGTCAATTTTTCAGGCCGCTTGCATTCATGCTTCAATTCGGATAGCGTGTTGATCCTCGCTGCAAAAGTGAGGTTAGCTAGATAGGGTTTGAGGTTCCCTTTAATAATTTTCACTAGTTCCTCCTCAGGGATCTTCTTCTTGAGTCTAAAAGTCAGGTCGTGGACGTCCGAGTAAAAGTCATCAAAACTTTCTTGTGGGTGCTGTTTCCGCTCCATAATCTCTCGGATGACTTCGTAGTCCGACTCAGCAGACTTGAATTGCGCTAGGAGTTCAGCCTTCAGTCCAAAGTAGTCGAAGTCGTTATCGTCAGCGTGGTCTTCTAAAACTTGCCAGTACCACTTTAATGCGTGACCGGTTACCAAGCAATGGAAATCAGAAAAAAAAATTTCGTGGGGGAGCTGATACTGTATGCGCATCCTCTCTAAACGGAACACAAAGCTTTCGACGGTCATGTCCTTTGTGGTACCATCAAATTTTAGATGCCACTTATCTAGGTCTACCTTTNGGTTGGTCGCCTAAACTTCCCGATTCGGATTCTGACCAGGGACCCCGATCATCTCGGCCAGTGCTCCATTTCCCACTTCTGGCTTGAAAACACAAAAGGAGGAATCTCCGCCACAGGCGAAACACTTCATTAGGTGGAAGGACGACTTACACTTGCTGTCCATTGCTGCTTCTCCCGGATTCTTAATGTAATAATCCACCGGCATACCCCAAGCAAAGCACAGCATTAGGTGGAAGGGTGATGCACAAAAGGACTGGATGGGTAATTTATTCACAGTGGGGACGTTACTCATATTGGGGTTTTGGGTAAAGGATGGGGTTATGGGCTTTGCCGTGTCGCATTGTAGGGTGGTACTGGGCAAACGTTTTTGCGAACTTGGCTGACTTCTGTTATCCGTGTTCAACGCAGATACTTCGAAATCGCTTTCTAGCTTACAGCTTTCAGACCAGTCCACGTAATTCATATTCACTTCGCAGACCGCTTTAACTCTTGATATGCTCTCTCTGGTCAATTTTTCAGGCCGCTTGCATTCATGCTTCAATTCGGATAGCGTGTTGATCCTCGCTGCAAAAGTGAGGTTAGCTAGATAGGGTTTGAGGTTCCCTTTAATAATTTTCACTAGTTCCTCCTCAGGGATCTTCTTCTTGAGTCTAAAAGTCAGGTCGTGGACGTCCGAGTAAAAGTCATCAAAACTTTCTTGTGGGTGCTGTTTCCGCTCCATAATCTCTCGAATGACTTCGTAGTCCGACTCAGCAGACTTGAATTGCGCTAGGAGTTCAGCCTTCAGTCCAAAGTAGTCGAAGTCGTTATCGTCAGCGTGGTCTTCTAAAACTTGTCAGTACCACTTTAATGCGTGACCGGTTACCAAGCAATGGAAATCAGAAAAAAAAATTTCGTGGGGTAGCTGATACTGTATGCGCATCCTCTCTAAACGGAACACAAAGCTTTCGACGGTCATGTCCTTTGTGGTACCATCAAATTTTAGATGCCACTTATCTAGGTCTACCTTTTTTCTTTCGCTAGCTCTGTCCTATCCTTCTGTCCTTTGTCCCTCCCTACTATTGGAGTGTTCATGATCTTCTCGCCCATTGGGATTACCTGGAGTTGACGTAGAAGCCGGAGGAGGTGGTGCTGCAGGGGCTTGCATGGATTCTTCAACATCGCCAACGCGGTTGCTCAAATGGGATACATCGGACCTCATTTTTTAACCTCGGCCATGCAATCTGCGATGACGGCATTCTGCTGTGCCATTATAGCCATTATTTGCTCCAATTGGTCCATTCAATTGGCAGCTGTCTCTGAACGTCTGACCCTTTCTAGCTTCCTCTAAAAACTTAAAGAGCCATCTGTGGAGTTAATATGAATTTCGCTGGTCACGCGTTGCCAAAACTGGGCGTTCGCGGTTCCGAATATTCTAGCTGTGCAGAGGTTTAAATAGTCAGTGGGCACAAAGTCCACGGGCCGTTCGATTCCAGTGTCGATCTGCGTGAACAAGGATCCCACCACCTGGTTTGCTATTAATTCAAAAAATAATAATTTAATATATATATATATACATAAATGAGGAATAATAAAATAAAACAAAATTAAAAATAAATATAAATAAAATAATAAATGAATTCAATTTGTAATCTCCTACTAATACTTAAATGAATATATATTCAGCAAAAAGGTAAAGGCAGAAAAAGAAAAGATTTATTTAATACTTTTTTCCTTTCTTATATGGTGTGTACGTATAAAAAAAAACTCAGCTTTTAACTTGTTTATGTAATTGAATGGTTGAATCGTTGGTGTGTTCATGGAGTTGACCTCGTTTGGCGGATTGAATAGGAATAGATGCCTTGTCTCGTACTTTAACTGGCCACTGTCCAAAGTCAAAGTCACTAATTCCCCTTAATTTTGGATCACCACTACAGATTCCTGATCTGGATCTAGGTCACTGGAAGTGATTCCATTCTACCCCACACCCCTATTGTAAAACATCCAGGCACCTCACATCAGCCAGACGCAGAATCTATCCGATGGTAGCGCTGTCTCAAACTCCCGCCAAAATATTCACCTATCACATTTACCTCTGGTATTAACCTCAGTAAAGCCAATAGTTGGAACCTACACTGTCCGGAGTAGAAGGAAATTAAATGGAATCAAAAAGAATAAACAAAGAATTGAAATAGACCTATTCGTTGAGCGCCATTGTTATGTAACTGCTTGTACTGGACCATAAGTCACGGCGGGTCGGCATGGTTGTAGCCCGGCTTTAGCTCGTCAGCCCTTGTCGTAGTTCTTGCCGTTCCTTTCAGCCCACAGCCATAAT